CGCTGGAGCACGGCGCAGGCGGGCTCCACGCACGGCGGCGCGGCCCGCGCGGCCGGCAGGAGGACGAGCTGGACATGCCAGGCGCCCCGCGAGCGGGCCAGCGCGAGGTGGGCGCCGTCGACAGGCACTGGGCGCGCGAGGTCTGGAGCTTGGCCGACGGCCCGGACGGGCGGCAAGACTTCGAGCGGCAGGCGGGCTCCGACGCGCCGCCCAGGCCGACGGCGGCCGAGTGGCTGGACGCCGCCAAGTCGTTCGCGAGGCGCACGGGCATGGGCGTCGACCGCGTCACGCCCCGCGCCTTCGCCCAGGCGTCCGCGGCCACGGCCAAGCTCCTCGTGGACTTCGGCAAGGTGGCCGAGGAGTGGGGCGGCTGGCCGCCGGCGGCGCGGGCGTCGCTCATCGCGACGCTGCCCGAGCTCACGGGTGGCTGGCGGTCCATCGGGCTGCTCTCCAGCATCCCGCGGATCTGGAACAAGCTCAGGCAGGCCAAGGCGCGGTGCTGGGAGGCCCCCCTCCGCGGCCGCGGCGCCGGCGTCTTCCGGGGCGGACCAAGGCGCTCGGCCCGGGGGCCCGCGCGGCGCCAGGCGCTGGCGGCCGAGGCGGCGGGGGCACAGCAGCTCCACGGAGCCGCGCTGCTGATCGACCTAGAGAAGGCACACGAGACGGCGCTGCTGGCCCGCGCCGAGCGCCTGGCCCGCCGAGCTGGCCTGCACAGCCGACTGGCCCGCTGCGCCACATCGACTCACCGCGGGCGCCGACGAATGCGCGCGGGCACCATCGTGGCCGGGGCGCGCACACTGGACGCGGGCCTGCTGGCTGGCTGCCCGCGCGCGGGAAGGGCCGTGAAGGCGGCGATGCTACCGACGACGAGGGCGCACTCCGAGGAGTGCGGCGCCTGCAGCAGCGGCGAGCTGAAGTCCGACACGCACATATCCTACGACGACGCGACCGCGGCCAGCCACGGGCGCGCCCCGCGGGCAATCGCGAAGCACTTGGCGGAGGCAGGGCTCGCGGCGGCAGCGGGTCTGACCGCGCTCGGCTGCAGAATCTCGGGGGCCAAGACGGAGGCAGCGGCAACCGACCCGCTGACGCGCGACGAGGTCCAGGCGGCGCTGAAGGCCAGCGCCCCGAGCGCCAAGCCAACGAAGGCCACGAAGGACCCGGGCGCGGATTTCTGCTCGGACGGCTCGGCCGCGGCGGGGGCGGCGAGGAAGCGGCGCGCCAGGGCCTGCGAGCAGCTCCGGCGGGTGGCGGGCGCGCGACGCCAGCCCATCTGCGCGGCCACGCGCCTGCTCGCGGGCGCCCCCCCCCCCCCGACGACGGCCCACGGCTGCAGCTCCCAGGCCTGGAACGCGAGCGAGCTCGAGCAATGGCGGTCGGCGGCCGGGTTCCTCGCATTCGGCGGCGCGCGGGGCCGCTCGCTGCAGGTGGGTTTCGCGCTAGCCGCCGCGCCCTGGCGAGACCCCTGATTTCTCTCCTTTCAACCCCCGAAAGAGTCTGTCGATGACGGAGGCGGCGACAACAGCAGGCCCCCATGACAGGACAGCACGTGTGGCACCTGACGGGGAGGGCTCGCCATAGCGAGCAGAACTTCAATGAACGGCGTTACGCACAGAGAAGCGGCGCCAGAGAGACAGCAGACGCCGCCGACGCTGGACGCAGCGCAAGGGCCAGGCGACGCGCTGCACACCAAGCCGCAGCAGCACCTTGCCTCTTCCGCCACAATCGCGGGGGGGGAGGGGTGGGGCTGAGCCAATGTCGGGCTGGACTGGCCACCCAGGTCCACCCCCGTGCCCAGGAGACTCACAGGGGCTCCCCCTGCGCAGCTGTCACCATGGAGGGCGCCAACAGGCGCTCCACGGCCCGCGCAACAGGGTCGCGCCAAAAAGCTCACAGAGAAAAGAAATGGGAAAAGGCGTCGTCGGACTGACGGAACCCCAAAGCCCGGTTTCTGGGGCTGGCTGCGCAACCAGCACCGCCAGCCAGGGGCGCCCCTGGCGGGGGCACGCGCGGTCGGCGCGCAGGTACGCGGCCGTCTTGGCAAGGTCATGTCGGAGGGTGCGCCGCTGGATTTCCCCAGGGGGGGGGGTAGGACCCCCCCCTCCCCCCCTTCCCCGATCCGTCGTCGGGGACCCCCCCCTCCTCCCCCCTTTCCCCGATCCGTCGTCGGGGACCCCCCCCCTCCCCTCCTTTCCCCGATCCGTCGTCGGAGACCCCCCCCTCCCCTCCCCCCCTCTCAAAAGGGGAGGTGTCCCCCCCCCCCCCCCCCCTTTCGAAGAAACGCCTGCGGCGGGCCTAAGCGGAAAGGGGGGTGGAAGGGTGGGGCCTGGCCAGGAGTCGGGGTGGACTGGCAACCCAAGTCCACCCCCGTGCCCAGAGCCCACGAGGTTGCGCCAAACAGCACACTGCAGTGAAAAGGACGGCCAGCCTCGCCAGGCTGGCGGAACCCCAAAGCTCGGGTACCAGGGCTGGCTGCGAGACACCAGCACCGCCAGACTGAACGAAACAAACCCCAGATCGAACCTGCATCGGGCCCAGGCGAAACCGCGGCCAATTCCGAGAAGATGGATGCGCAGCGCCCCCCCCCTGAGTCGGGGCGCCTGATGCGCGTGCGGGGAGCGCGCACGCACGCACGCACGAGTATACAGAGCGTCCGAGGCGACGCCGGGACGACTCGGCACGACCCCCCCCCTTGTGTAGAAAACGCCAGGGCGGATGGCAAGCCGCATCCCTGGTGCGGGCCTGTCTGGGCTCTCGCAAAGTAGAGTCGGCGCTATGTAGGCTCTGCGCTGAGAAAACCGTTAGTCTGGGTCTCCGCTCGCCAGGTCGCCATCTGAGGCCCGAATCAGCGTTGTTAGATCACCCTCGGCACGGAGGTTATAAAGCACAGCCTGGGTTCGAGCCCTGATAATTAGAGGGGCGGCCAGACGGTCAACCCGCCCCTCCTCGGCAAGGTTTTTATCTGAGCAGGCCGATCTGGCCTTCTATAACCTGGCGAGCGCTGAGACCTCATCCAAATCAAAGGGTGGGTTAACAGAAACATTCGGCCGTTTGGGGTGCTTTCCTCGACAGACAGCGGACGACACCCTGTTGCCGAAGCGCGCAGGCGGGGCGCACTTACTGTTACGGGAAACAGCACGGCCGTGCGAGCTGCATGACTTACACGCAAAGCAGATAATAAAAGTGGCGCCGTCGCTGCACGACAAAAACAAAAGCCCATGGCCGTTGCCAGCGTAAACCTGGAAATCCGCGCGCACGCTGCCAGTGCATCTGCCAGGGGGGGGGGGGGGGGGGGCTTAAGAGGCCAGCGATTCCTGCTGATGTGCCAACAGGTCGAGCAGCGCCAGAATTTACCCATGCACGCCCAAACGCGGGGGACAACAGCAAGCTCCTCTCTGAGAGAGTTGGGAGGCGGGCTGTCAGCGACGGCCCCACATTCTCGTAGAGAGCTCCACGCTGGCAACAATTTCATACTGAGCAGACAGAAAGCACGAGCAGACTTAAGTTCCAGCTTGATGTCGTCATCACCTGATGCCTCGGGCCTGGGGTGGTGGGCGATAACAAACATAGCAGCTCGATCGGCGGCGCCGTTGCCCTCTCTATCAAACCGAAAATGATCTGAAATTTCCAGCTCGCCCACACTCTGGCGCGCGCGCGTGACCGCCTGCGCGCGCGCAGAAGACGGGTGCGGGGGGGTCGACATACCGCGTGTAATCCCGAGTCCAATCGCCCATGTGCGCAGGGGGCGGGATGCGATCTCCTGGGCGGGGGAGGGCCCCATGGGCTAAGAAGGAAGAGCTTGTCTGCACCGTGCGGCGCGAACGCAACGGCACCGTGCACATTCTCGTCGGGCGCGAGCTCTCGACGCCGCTCGTCGCGAACTGGGCAGGTCCAAATTCTGTGGGAAGCCGATCCGAAGGAGCTCCGCACTTTTTCGGAATCCTCTGGAAAAGTATATCCTTTGCTCCTCGCAATATTCCTCGTCCAGATCGCCTCGCCAGCGGCAGCACAGAGCGATCCTTCCTCCAAAGGTGTAAACTTCGTTGAGGCCAGCGCCGCGCTGACCACATCGTAAGACAGCCGATGCATGAAGTTATGCGTAGAGCCGATGTCCCTTTCCAGGCTGCGAAGGACCGGGTTCCTGAGGTGAGTCCTAAGGAGGGCTGTGGAAGTGAAGGGAAGCTCGTGCATATGCCCTAAGTCGTCCTGCAGGGGACAGAAAGAGGGCACCTCCCAACCTGGCCTGGACAGGGTCATCAGCATCGCAGAATGTAGGCCAGCCACGGCTCGCCACGAGGAAACTCCTTTGGCCTTGACGGCCCCCAAAACCTACGAAGATTGGGCAAAGGCAGAGCCGCCTCGCGCAGTCTAGCAGTCGCGACCCACACCTCGCGATGCCGAAGACACACATAAGCAACTTGCGTGAGCCACGTCGGATCCTTCTCCAGGAGAAGCAGCACCCGAAGAGAGCGCTACGAAGCCGAGGGCGTCAACACCTCGGCGAACGATCTCCTGAGGTCCAGCAACTGTTGGGGGAAACCCCGCAGCACTCACAGCCGTAGTTACGGACGGGGAGGGGGCCAGCAATCCAAAGCCTGCGGGCCCTGCGTCCAATAGTGCTCGCCAATGTAGAAACGCGAAGAGCTCTAGCGCGACCAGCCAGCCGTCTGGCCTTAGCCCGACTCCATCGACCACCTGTTCGTGGGAACCGATGGCCGAGATCGACGAGGTATCGATGTACAACTTGAAAGCAACGCCTGGGGGGCAAACGATGTTGCCGAGATTTTCGGCACTAATAATTCTCATCATGGCGGTAGCCAGCGAGCAGCCAGCGATGGCGCCTGACGAAGCGCAGGCAGCTGCAGACAGTAGCCCGCCCAGGGCCAAATAGCGCGCAAAGGAATATGCAGCAACGGCCAGCCGAGCAGCAGCGAGGTGGGAAACGAAGCTTGGCACATTGATGCTCATAGTATTTGACAAAGTCCCAAAGGAGATTGACTGCGTGGTCACCCCGAAGCCGCCCCTGCCTCCGCAGCTGCAAGTTGGCGCCACGCTGTGTCTCCAGCCCCTGCGACTGATCCACCAGCATAGTGCGGTCTGGCGCTCTCGAGTTCCCATTGCCGAGCGATGGGGCGACGTGTTTTAGCCCAAGTGCGGCACATAGAGCCAAACCCAAGACTTCCATGACAGTGAACAACTTGAGCACGCATGCCAGGGGGTCGTCCGAAAGCCAGCTATAGTGACGAATGTGAAACCCATCTGACGCGACGGCCGAATTTATCTTGTGAGACAAGCACAACTTCCCGAAATCCGCCACATCAAGAGGAGGGAGCGGGTCGGAAGGTCGAAAGGTGGCTGGAACGGAGGAGGCGTCGGAGTCGACCTCCATAAAGCCTGAAACTTCCGAGCCTCGTTGCAAAGAACACTGAGGGTCACTGACAATCTTGCCCGAGCTGGAAAGCGCGGTGAACGGCTGCCACGGACCGGGGCGCTTGGTGTACTTGCGCGCACCCCGAGCACCCTGGTCAAAACCTCTCAGAATCCAGGCACGCCAGGAGGCCGAGGCTTCAGCACGGGCCGTTTTGAAGCTCGTCGAGCGCAAGCTCGACGGGCGAATGAAGGCCCGAAACCTCGGCGCCAAGACTGCAGCGTCAAACAGGTGCCGACGAGAACCCCGGCGACGAAGGGCGGCGGCGGGGACGGCGAAGCCCGAGGAGATAGCTTGCTGCAGGCCTTCGTGAGACGAATGTTGGACAGCGGCCTGCAGGGCAAGGACAGACTTCCACGGCCACCTGATGGCTGTCAGAGACGGGCGACGGGGGCCTTGAATTCCACGGGCATACACAGACTGCCAGACAATCTTCGGGGCTGCGGACCCGGTTCCGAACCTCGGGAGAATTGCCCCCGCAGCTTCCGCAAACTCCCGCTCGGCTCCGCCAGCCCAAAGCCCGTAGGCCTCGAAAAGCTGCCGGTGAGCGTTGGGACCGTGGCCAGACTCAGCGGCCTCGAGGGCCCGATCAAGACACGCACTGGTGGCCTCGCAGCTGCGAGGGGGGGCCACTCGGCCCACCAAACGAGCACCAGGGATCTTGGGAGGGCGCGAGAGAATCCTGGCCCGAAGATGGCCAATCTGGGGCCAGAGGGCGAGCCGAACAGGGCAATGCGGGAAGACCTCCGCCGCATAGGATTCCTCGACGCGCGGCACTGCCTGGATGGAACTACTAAGGCCAGCACTGCAGAAAAAAAGTAATCATCCATCTTCAGCTCGCCAGTAATACGGCATGCGCCAGCACAATCGGGAGACGAGGCTGCCCCCTAACTCTGCGGCGAAGCCGTGGTCGTGGAGCGAAGCAGGGGCCACGCTGAAATCCCTAGCCAAGACCGACGGGAGAGGAGTCGACGCGACTGCCGCCCCTGCATCCGCAAGTAAGTGAAGATTAGGTGCTGACTTGCCCT